CACATATATGTATCCCCTCAAAATGTACTACTGTTTTGCATGTTTTTAAACTTATATAAATGGTATTATACTCCAAACAAAGAAAAAATCCTTAAAGTTCAAAGGAACATCCTCCTCAAACTCAAATTTATACCCAGCCAAGTTATCATTCCAGACAGAAGTCAAAACAAGAATATATACAGATTAAGAGGGTTACCATGGACTCTCGCTAAAATAGCTATTAAAGGATGCACTTTGGTAAGGTAACATAGGAAAGGCTTGATATACAATAAACAAAAGAATGCAAAAATTCATAAACAATGTAGGAAAAGTCAATGAGCTAATAATAATAACACATTGTTTTGCTTTTTGCAAAAAGTTTAACTTAGTCTAAACAAGAATAACTAGAAGGTGACAGTGTTGAATAGGTAGTTAAAGCATGTAAGGCCCTTTATGTGGCTAAAAGAATGCTAGAAAGTCAGAATAACTGTAGACTTTGTTGTAAGAAAATGTATAGCTAAGTACATATCCACATATAACCAGTTAAGGTTAGAAATAAAATAGATAGCATCCAAATCCACAGAGAATGCAATAAAAAAAGTAACATATAAAAATGTTTAAAAGGCAGAAAAGAAATAAAGAAAGTGAATGATAAACAGAAAACACAAATATGGTGGTAGAAATATGTCTAAATATATTAGTTATTACAATAAATGAAAATAGATTAAATTCACCCGTCACAATATAAGATTATACTGTATTTAAAAAATTTAATTGTTGCTTTCAAAAGATAAGCATGAAAGGCAAAGGCCATAAATTATTAAGAGAATCTGAAAATTAGAATTTATTATAAATGAGACAATGTTGAGTCGATGTAGAATTAAGTGTGGTAGGCCAATACAATAGTATTGAGAAGAAAATAGATTTTGTACACAGTAAAATTGATAGATGACAGATGTGTAATTGCTAATGGGTAGAAAAAGGATTGACTAGTGGTTTATGGTTCTGAGACATTGGATTACCCATATATACACAACAAAAATTCTTATTTCATACACAAAGATCAGTCCTAAATGAGATAAGTAAAGACCCAAATGTGATGCAAAACTTGAGAAATTTTAGAATTAAATACAGGACAATATGATCTTTAGATAGGGAGGATTTCTTAAATAAGTCACAACAGTAAAGCTTATAAAACAAGAGATCGATAAATTGAACTACATTAAAATTTTTCAGAACCTCCCATACATCAAAATACATCATGGAAAAATTTTAAAAATACAAGTCATAGTCTGGGAGAAGATGTTTGCAATGCATATAAGTGACACAGTATTGATATTCAGAACAATAAACTCCTAAAAATCAATAAAAAGAGACAACTCAATAGAATACAGATAAAGGATATGAAAAATCAATTCTCAGAAGAAACCAAAGTGGACAATAAAGATACAAAAAGATGCTCTATCTCATTAGTAATTTGGGAAACATATATTGTAATAGCAATGAGATATCATTTCATGTTCATCATGACAACTGGCAAAATTTGTAAGTCTGACAATTTTAAGTGTTAAGGCTGCAGGGGAATGAAAACTTTCACATTCTGCTACTGGAAGAGTAAATATGTTCAATTACTTTGGAAAACAATTGATCATTATGTAGTTAATTTGAAGATGCATATAATTAATAAATCGCTTTCCCTAGAGAAATTCTCATACTCATACATAAAGAGACATGCACAAAATTGCTCTAAGCAGCATTGTTTGCATCACAAGCAGCTATAAATAACCTAAATTCTGATCAATAAAATGGATAAATTGTAATTCAATCATATATGGAATATCACACAGCAATTAAAATAAATGAGGCAGAGCTATGTGTATCACTATAAAAGAATCTCTACAATATAATCATGAGTAGGGAAAAAGTCATAGAATAACATTGATAGTGTGATACCATAGGAATTTGTAAAGTAATACCAGTTATATTTTTTGATACACAGATAAGGAAAAACATTGAATTCATGACAGTGATTACCTGTAGGGTGAAGGGACAAAGATGTACTAGGAAGGAGTATAGAATAGTCTCAATTACATTTATAATTTTTTTCCAAAAACAGGTGACTCTGGCATATAAGGCACATGCTGATATGACAAAGCCAAGGGGTTGGCACGTGGGCAATAAATGGCTGTTCATTATGTCTCTACTCTTTTCTGCATATCAGTGTGGCGATTCCTGAAGGATCTAGAACTAGAAATACCATTTGACTCAGCCATCCCACTACTGGGGATATACCCAAAGGATTATAAGTCATGCTGCTATAAAGACACATGCACACGTATGTTCATTGTGACACTATTCACAATAGCAAAGACTTGGAACCAACCCAAATGTCCATCAGTGACAGACTGGATTAAGAAAATGTGGCACATATACACCATGGAATACTATGCAGCCATGAAAAAGGATGAGTTCGTGTCCTTTGTAGGGACATGGATGCAACTGGAAACCATCATTGTCAGCAAACTATCGCAAGAAAACCAAATACCGCATGTTCTCACTCATAGGTGGGAATTGAACAATGAGATCACTTGGACACAGGAAGGGGATCATCACACACCGGGGCCTATTGTGGGGAGGGGGAGGAAGGATAGCATTAGAAGATATACGTAATGTAAATGATGAGTTAATGGGTGCAGCACACCAACATGGCACATGTATACATATGTAACAAACCTGCATGTTGTGCACATGTACCCTAGAACTTAAAGTATAATTAAAAAAAAAAAAGAAAGAAATTATTCACAGTAAACAAAATAAGCCTTTAAAGAAGGTATCAAGCAGATTAAGGCATTCAAATTCCTGATCAGCATTTCAGAAGGCTCCTAATCTATGACTGGCAGCATCACACTGCAGTTCTGTTGAAGATGGTCTGGGGAGGAGTTCAGACAAGCTAGTACCTCCTATTGGCAGCCCGAGAGAGGTAGCAAGCTGACTCCTAGCTGCTGCAGCTCCTGGTAAGATGTAGAATGGGGGTGAATTTGATAGTGAATGAAAGTCCTTTTGAAATGGAATAGAGTCATCCAGATAATAGCATGATCCAATGGTGCTTCCTAAACTTTCCAAGTCATGGCACACATGGATAATATTTGTCTGACACATCTGAGTGGAAGCTACCACCTAGGGGGCTTCAATTGCCCTAGGTCCTACCTGTGTCCCTGAGAGCTGAGTGAATTGATATCTCACAATATCACACAAGTATAGCCCATCTGCAATACACCAGTGTGCCACAACATGCCTTTTGGGATGCCCTGGCCCAGAATGTATTCTTTTCTCCTCCAAGAGGAGGGATAATAATGAACCACTCAAAACTCTAGCAGTGCTGATTTTTTTTTTCCAGTCCCAAAGCTGTCTAAACGGAGTGTACTAAAGAGTTACAACTACTTTGCTTGAATTTGTGAAGTAGTAATTTGGAGCAGAAAGAGGTTGTACAAAAGAAATGCACTTAACATAGCCTGAAGATTTCCCTCTAAAGCAACTGAAGACGGATCAACAACTCTCTCCAATTCACTCTTAGGTATCATATCAGGGTGTGACCCGATGAAACTGAGATGTGGAAGCAGGCAATATAGACAGTGTATTGTGGAGTAGAACAGGACACAATTAAAAGCAATTAAACTGTATTGGACGTAGATAATCTCTCACCACCACCTTAGGAGGAATTGGTAGGTCATACAAGTGAGCCACTCTAGTCATGTCAGCCCATGATTTGGAATTTCTATATATGTTAATCATATATATGTTAAATGTAGATCATTCTATGGAGTAGAGTAAACTTTTTTCGAACTAGTTCTATCTTTTTTCTTCTGAAGTCTTCAAGCTCAAAGAGTTCTATCAGGTATAGAACTATAGTAAGGTCACCCAAACTAGTGACTGCACCTTACAGGTGCAGTCACTTTTCTATACCCTACTTATGTAGACAAGATAATTGCTAGGATAGTGACTGCAGAGGGCAATATCTCAGTCGCTTTGAAAGTGAGGCACTGGCCCATGGATACAGTATGGTAGGCTTAGTGGAAGGAAGGGCTGACGTAGTTCAGCCATGCTGGTTACTAACATATTGAAACATATCCACATTTATTAGTAATTAGTCATCCCCTGAGACCCACAAACCTGCCGTATGACCACAGTGCCACACTAGCTCCTCCTCTGGGACCCCATCTCCCCACAGTCCAGTAACCAAAGTGTTAATGCCTAGCATAGCAGATGGCTGTTAAATATTTTGAATATCACCCATGGATGAAGATAACCACCACATCAACCCTCAAATGCTCACTAACCCTGCTGGCACCATCATCCCCATGACTGTAAGAGAGAACAATCTCTCTTTTTGTCCAATTTTGCCTTAAGTTTCCAAACCAGAGTAAAATACCTCTCTGAAAGAATGAAATTGCTCAGCCTCTCCTAGGCCAGATGTCAGCTATAGAGGGGAAAAAAGACCTTTTAATTCCATGGTCATGGTCACAGTTTTTTGGGGGGACCTGACCTTCCCTTAAAAGTGAGAGACAAAAGTCATCTTGACTCTCTACACAGCCAACCAAACCTGCTTACTTTCCCAGACTGGCCCAATCTTATGAGCCATCCTCCCTTCATTCCATGGCACCTTCCAAGCAGATTCTCCATTCCACATGATTCTAAAACTTATTTCTCAGACCAGGACACTTCCTTGACACCTGAGTCCTGTGAGTGATTTGGAGAGAACATCACCCTAGAATATGCAGCAACATCCAGAGTATCAGCCCTGCCATCCATAGTGAAGAGGAGGCAACACAGAGCTGGCAGGGAGAAAAATCAACTGCCTGTGGAGCAGAGGGTGGGGAGGAGAAGAATTGTTCATGGCACAAGAGTTCTGCTGTTCATTCAGGAAGTCAAAAGAGAAGGGCAGGAATTGCATTTGGACAGGCAACAAGGCATCATTCAGGAAATAAGGGAAAAGCCAAGGCAGAAGGGCCACACCTACTCACCAGGGCTGGTTATCGTCAGGAGGTCAAGCTGTCGTTGTTGCTGCAAAAGAAAACACACTGTGAGGGCACTGATTTGAGCCAGAGCCAAAATTGTGCTTAGCAGGTCAGGGCACATATGCAAAGAGGATGTTTGGACATACTGCAGGGTAAATCATACTGAATGTGGTACTCACTTCCAATTCTGCAGAGAGGGTTTGTACCCAAAGACAAAGGGGGATGAATGGGTTTTTTGTTTGTCTTTGAAAGCACAGGTGGTTAGAGCTTAGAGGTCTCTCAGTCAAATCATACCATACTTATGGCAAATGAGGCCCTGAGCAGAATGTGGCTCACCTAGAACCACAGAGAAGGTCCCTTTCCAGTTTCCCAGTCATGGGCTCATTCTTCTGTACCAGATAGCTTTAGATTTCCCTTTTCTCATACCGGCTGCACTGGTTGAGTGTCTGATATATTGGCAATGCTCTCTGCCTTGAGTGCCTGTGGTACTGCCACTCTCTAGATACTTCTATTTAACCAAGATATTTCTGGATTGGTTTCATTCTTAAGTCTGCTCATAATAGCATAACAATTTCAATTAGCGATGACCAACCATTCCTTTTCTAACTGAATCCTTATCCTTTCTCTTACCACACAATATTCACCCAGAATAATATTTGTCTAGCACACTAGGCTATAGAGATGAGGCAGCTTATGTTTGGAAGCAACTGGCCTTGGTTACCCCAAGGGCTGAGGTGATCAATATCTCAAAAGGCCTGTTCTGTATCACAGCACAGCTACTGTCCTAGACTGGATGCCATGAAAACTTGAGGGTAGAGAAGTGGGTACAGGAGGCTGCAGCTGGCAAAGTGGTGAGCAGCCCTCTCAAAGACTTGAGTCAGCGTTCCTTTAGTCCCGGTCCTCCTGCTGACCTCTTTCTCTTTCCTACACTTGATTTTTTGTAAATAATACTGGAAATCTCTGTTTCTGTTTTCTTAAAAGGGGTCCAAACAAATTCCATTTTGAGAGTCATTGCTCTAGGTTACAAATTGCAGGAGATTTCAATCATCCAGTATTTTGTGCAGCAGAGGCCTTGCCATATTTTACCTCCCCTGCATTTCCCTCTTTATCTTGCCTCTATCCAAGAATGGCTTCCTGAAATTCTGCTTAAGCAGAAAGGGGAAGGCAGAAACATTTTTAAAGTACTAACTGTAGATCAGGCACAGTACTAAGTACTTTGATGTATCAATTTTTTTTTCATACTCTTGGCAATTGTACAGGAGAGGACATGATATTTAGAGGGGAGAAATTGTCTGTCCAAGACATCTTCACTAAATGGCAGGGTCAGGATTAAAATTTAGTCAGTTCTGATTCTGGCTCTAAAGTTCAAAATACGGCAATGCATACAAATCATCTAGCATGATGCCTGGCACTTAGAAGGTTCTCAATAAAAAGATCTATGTAGTATTGATGTTGTTATTACAGAACATCTGGTCCTTGGTTTATATAAGATGCCTCTTACTTTTTCATGAATTTTACTTATTTAAAGCTCAGAGATTTGACCTGCCACGAGGTCAGGGACTCCCTCCTCAATGTCTCCACCACGTATGAACTGCTTCTGTTTCATCTTCTTTCTTGGTAGAGAACCGACCACTTTTTTTTTTTGGTTAGATAGCTCTACTTTGAGCAAGGTTGAAAGCTGCTTCCTGATGACACAATCACTGTTTCTAGCTACTTCAGTCCATGACAATAGTTTGGAGAGCTGAAGAAGATCTGTACTGTCTTCTCTCCAGTCTAAATATTCCCAGGTCCTTTGTTCTTTACTCATAAGACCTGGTCTCAAATCTCCCTCTCCTCAGAGTTACCCTCCTTCTTCACTAACTTTGATCTGTTTCAGTCAAAATCTCTGGAAGATTTCTCTATCCCTTGCTTCAGTGACTTCTCATGTACGTAAAAGGAGCTCCAGATCCCTCCGGTGCCTTCTCAATCACACAGACCTGTCTTCCTACCAACTTATAACTCATTCCAGTTGACATTTTCAAGCAAACAATGCAACTCTAAGATGTCACTAATCTACACAGTAAGAGCATATCCTAGCACTGATATGAAACACCCACGCATGCATGCGGGCTAGAAGGAATGCTGGAGCCAGACCTTCTTCCTTCTCTAACACGAAACCAGGCCAGTGGGACGTCTGGCTTAAGCTGCCTTTGCCAAGGTCAACCTATGTGACTTGGCACTTTCTTCATACATAAGGGAAGAATCCATCGTGTCCTTTTTACATACACTTGACTTTGTGATGGTCACAGTTGGTGAAGATGGCCTATTTGTCTGAAATGTATTTTTTTCTAGTTAAGAAGTATTGCTAAATGGCAACTCTATGCCTAGGATTCTTTAAAGAAAAAGGGGGAGAAAACCTGACAGAGTCAGATAGGCCTGGGCTTGTGTCCTGGCTTTCCGTCTCTGGCCTCCAACTTTGCAACTCTAAAATGAGCAAGTGAGACTGAAATGCCATCAGTGACAGGGAGCCAAATGCAACCAGCTAGTGGGCTTACAGGCTCCCTCTTCTGGTGTACAACTCCCTGAGAACCTGTAGCCAGCACACTGGGGACTCAAAGGACATAGTTAGAATTTAAAAGGGAACCACATTTTCAACTATCCTCTCACATTGCAATTTTCTATGCGTGTATCAGTCTTCCTCACTAGATGAGGAGCATCTTAAGGGCCTACAACATCCATTATTAATCTTAGTAAAATCAGTACATGTCACAGAGTACCCCTCAGTAAGTATTTGCTGAACTCAACTGAACTAGTCCCCAAATCCACAGACATCCTTTCAAACCTCCATGCCTTTGCTTATGCTATCATTTGTCTACCATCTTGAAATCTTCCTGAAGATCTCTTCACTTCTCAAGACTTCCATGAAGTCTTCTTTGAACACCACCTCCCAAACCTAACCACCTTATCTCCCTTCCTCAGAGCAGAATCTCACGCTTTGTTCTTCCAATGCATCTTGCAAAGCATCTAGCATCCTCCTTGAGGATGCTAGTGAGAAAGACAAGGAAGACAGTATCATGTACTGTCTTCATTGTCTTTGCCATGTACTGTCTTTCTCACCAGGAGAAAGTACCATGTACCGTCTTCATTGTTTCTCTTTCTCACTGATCCTACTTGAGGACAGTGCTGTGTCATTTCACCTGTGTACCCCCAGTTCCCTGAACAAAGGTCTGGAAGGAATGTTTGATGTCATCTAGCTCAAATAAATGTTTCATCTATGCTGTTACTCCTCTGCAGTAACCCGGTTGATTAGGAATTAATCAGCATGGAGAGTAAACATGCTCTTTCTTTTCCAAGACTTTTTCCCCTGCTGCATCTTTGGGGTTTCTTGCCTTTAAGATTTTGCTCCTGCCATTTCTGTAGCCAGGAATACTGTCAATCCATCTCCTCTGGGAGGGTTTCCTTTCTTTACTCTTGCCCGGAGGATTACTCTGTTTCCGGACGCCTACAGCTCCTACTGTTGGTACCACCTCTGTGGTGATAAATTAACACTAACCTGGTGATAAGCCCCTTTAACCTACAGATCACTGACATATGTGTGCACCACCTAGTGGCACAAGCAGATATGCGTAGGCTGTTTTAACCTCTAGCTCTTAAAATAGAATTGCAAAACCTGCATGTTCTATATGCAAACGAAAACAAAAGTGCATGTTCCAGAATGACTCTGCAACAATTTTTAGCTAAGAAACTGGAATGTTTAAATAATTCCCTCAAAGTCATTCAAAAATAAAAGGACTGAAATGACAGTAAAAATTTTCCTTACTAGTCTAGCAGGCACAATCATTTGAGATTGCCAGTGAAAACTGTGTGGCATTTGTAAAAATAGAGCACATGGTTTATAGAATTTCACCAATAATGCACAATCAGTTATATATAGACAGGGGTACGTTGGACATAAAGAATTACCAAATTATTATAATTGGTTGCCAACTGAGAGAGATAAGAGACTTTAATATGGATGGTAGGATAGGGAGGAAGTGAAGCCAGTAAGGTCGGTGGCAAATTTAACAGGCAGGCAGGGCCTGATGACTCTTGAACCACTTGCTGACCAAAAGCTACAGTCTAAGGAAGGCAGAGCCTTCACATGTGTAGTAGTGGTTGTGTGTGTGTGTTTGTATGTGTGTGTGTGTTTGGGGTCAGAGTGAGGACATTCATCTCAGACAAAAGAATTCCACATTTGGATGGAGGGGAATGTATCCAAGTGTGCCTGTGTGGGATTCTACGGACTGCTGAAGGAATGTGGGTATGCCAGTGTTGGGTCAATCAGGAGTAGATATATGGACTCCTGGCTGTGTATGACTCCTGCATCCAGCCTTCCCTCATAAACATGATACCCCATGGACATTCGGAAATTCAAAAATTTCTTTGCTTAACCATTGTGTGGTGAATGCTGAGTATGACCTCATAAGGACAATGGAGGGTGGGGATTCTAAAGTCAACAGGAGTAACCTCTAAATTGGGTATCCAGGGATTGCCAGAGTATCTGTAGTGGATGCTTAAGGAATTGTCCACCAGCACCTTTGCTCCAGGAGTTATCCATTATTCCCCCATGCATCGAGTGAATGCTGTTATATTAGTACCATGTCACCCCACCTCTAGTCACAGTGGACTTCTTCAAAGGTGGAAGTCCTAAAAGCTGGGCTAATTAGACACCTTACCCAAGAACTTTGGACCTTTTCTGGATTCAATTATTCTTCTGAAAATTATAGTTGTCCTAATTTAAGAACCTATCTTTACAATTTTCATAATTATGAAAATCACACATGCTGATTTTTGTCATTTTCCAAATTTCCAGAAAATTCAGAGTAAAAGTAGAAAAATTACTTTGAGTCAACTGCAAGCAAGAACTGGGAATATTTCCAGAAAATTCAGAGTAAAAGTGAAAAGTAATGAAATCCTACCACTGAAAGAGAATCATAGTTAATATTTTGGTGTATTTTCTTATCATCTTTCTCACTATGTATATACATTTAATGATATTGTGTTTATATATAATAAATGAAGTACAAT